TCACACAATAATGCCATTTTACATATCACACAATAATGCCATCTTCCATATCACACAATAATGCCATCTTACATATCACACAATGCCATTTACATATCACACAATAATGCCATCTTTACATATCACACCCAATAACATCTTACATATCACACAATAATGCCATCTTACATATCACACAATAATGCCATCTTACATATCACATAATAATGCCATCTTACATATCACACAATAATGCCATCTTACATATATCACATAATAATGCCATCTTACATATCACACAATAACAGCTTACATATCACACAATAATGCCATCTTACATATCACACAATAATGCCATCTTACATATCACACAATAATGCCATCTTACATATCACACAATAATGCTATCTTACATATCACACAATAATGCCATCTTACATATCACACAATAATGCCATCTCACATATCACAATAATGCCATCTTACATATCACACAATAATACCATTTTACATATCACACAATAATGCCATCTTACATATCACACAATAATGCCATCTTACATATCACACAATAATGCCATCTTACATATCACACAATAATGCCATCTTACATATCACACAATAATGCCATCTTACAAATCACACAATAATGCCATCTTACATATCACACAATAATGCCATCTTACATATCACATAATAACATCTTACATATCACACAATAATGCCATCTTACATATCACAATGCCATCTTACATATCACACAATAATGCCATCTTACATATCACATAATAACATCTTACATATCACACAATAATGCCATCTTACATATCACACAATAATGCCATCTTACATATCACACAATAATGTCATCTTACATATCACACAATAACATCTTACATATCACACAATAATGCCATCTTACACATCACATAATAATGCCATCTTACATATCACACAATAATGCCATCTCACATATCACACAATAATGCCATCTTATATATCACACAATAATGTCATCTCACATATCACACAATAATGCCATCTTACATATCACACAATAATGCCATCTCACATATCACACAATAATGCCATCTCACATATCACACAATAATGCCATCTCACATATCACACAATAATGCCATCTTACATACATGTATATCACATAATAATGCCATCTTACATATCACATAATAATGCCATCTTACATATCACATAATAATGCCATCTTACATATCCCATAATAATGCCATCTTACATATATCACAATAGTGCAATCTTATATCACAGAAATGTCAAAATACTTTACCATCACATTGTTTAATGTATCTGATACTGCCAAATAACTCAATGCATATACTACCGTAGTCATCTTTGGTATACATGAAAGTTAACAAAACTGTAAGGCACTGTATTATTAAGGAATCATGCAGCCCCCTCAATCAGTTCAGGGATGAGTTGGTAGTATAATGAATATCATATTTAATGTGGATAACTTTAAGCTTATTTCAGTCATACATTTTTTGAAGAATTTTATTTTTTAAGAGTATAATATATATTCATCAGACAACTTATTATAATTTGTTCAAGCAGAATACACAATAATGCCATCTCACATATCACAATAATGCCATCTTACATATCACATAATAATGCCATCTTACATATCACACAATGACAATAATACCATCTTACATTTCACACAATGCCATCTTACATATATCACATAATAATGCCATCTTACATATCACATAATAATGTCATCTTACATATCACACAATAATGCCATCTTACATATTACATAATAATGCCATCTTACATATCACACAATAATGCCATCTTACATATCACATAATAATGCCATCTTACATATCACATAATAATGCCATCTTACATATATCACAATAGTGTAATCTTATATCACAGAAATGTCAACATACTTTACTATCACATTGTTTAATGTATCTGATACTGCCAAATAACCCAATGCATATACTACCGTAGTCATCTTTGGTATACATGAAAGTTAACAAAACTGTAAGGCACTGTATTATTGAGGAATCATGCAGCCCCCTCAATCGACTATTTTTGTTTGAATCTCGAAATAAATATAATATGCATGAACTTATAACCCAATATGCACAATTCTGATAAATACATGTAGTTTGAATAAAATCGCCTTGTTCATCTTTGAGAAACATTTTCTGGACATATTTACTAACTGCAATTTTAGGATTACAGACAAAATGACCATCAATTCGACAAGTTCTAATCAAATAAAAAAAAAACATACGGTAATATATACATACAAGTACAACTACCAGTGTGTAAACTTTCACCTGAATCAGACGGTATATTCGTGAGGAATCGGCGTGGAATTCGATGAATGTAGTGTATACTACAATGCTAAAAAAAAGCTTCATGAGTCATGCAAGTATCACGAACACAGGGACTGGGACAGCATATGTAAATATGAACATGAAGAATTAAATAAATTCTTACAAACATATTTACAAAATCGTCAAACTTTGAAGGATAGCATTTGCTTCTTTTACCATCGCTAGCCCCCCTGCGCGCGCGCACACACGATAACAAAGTATCATATTTATGTAGGCAAACGAGCACATACTGCTTTGCTGCGCTCGTTTTTCTGGTTTTAAATTCATTAAATTAAAATAGAGTAATGTAAAATAACTTACTGATGAGCATCAACCACCAATAATACAAAAACACTCGTGAAACATCTCGTCTACTATTTGCGTGTGCCTCTAAAAACACAAAACAACAAAGTTATTCTCAGATTCATATTCGTTTCAAATACTCCTGCGGATTCGTCCAACGTTGGCATTTGCGTGCTACTGAGGGTCTAGATTTTGCTCAGTGTCCTATATTATTATTTATGTGAGTTTTTAAATTGTAAAATCGTTTTAAAAAAATGACATTTAATTTAGTCAGTTTCCAGGGTGATAATAATTTTTCATTATAGCATTTCATCATATTTTTTTTAAATGTTTTTTATGCTAGGCGACAGTTCCGGACATTGAATGTCACTGTTGTTTTGCCTGACTTATTTTTTTTTGTACACTGTATGTGTAAATTGCAAGTGCTAGTGCTGACACATAATGCATTTTTAGCCACAGAAGTCATATTCATGTTTGGGATTACATGACAGCGCTGTGCGTCCATACTTTCTATCAAATTGCAATTTTAATGCGCTATCCTGGCGTCAACCAGGCTCGGTCGAACACAAGCACCTGCGAACCTTAACCATTTAATTCAGTTTCCAGGGTAATAATAATTGAGTCTGTGACACACTCACCATGGGTATGTTTTGATGTTCAGCCTAAAGTAGGATTTGAACTTGGGTCTACCGATCATGTGACTGATGCGACAACCACTATGCTACCAGTGACCGGTAATATTCAATATTTCATTATATCATAATTGAGGGTTTAGAAATGAACACCAAGATATGTAAAATAATATATACATTTTTATTATAACAATTCACATGTGATTTTTGATATACAGATCATACTTGTCATATTCTTTGTAATTATTAATAATTGATATCAAATTAAAATGTCAAAGTTGCTGAATGTGTTCTGAGTGATCTAAACTGTCTATTCTGAGTTCTACTTACCTTTAGGAGAAAAGATACAATTGTATTGTGAAGACTGCGTACATGACGTCATCACTCTCTTAACAGATTAGTAGAAATAATGATTATAAGTTAACACTGTGTCTTTCTTTTTGAATATACAAGAAAAACAGAAAAAAACATATCACATAATTACCACCAAATCATTTCATTGTAGAAACAATGGTTATGAGATATTTTGTATTAAGCAGTAACTTTTCTATCCAAATTATTCCACTCATAGCACTGGGTATAGATTACTTTATATTATGATATTTAGAAGACACCCCCCCCCACCTCCCTATGATCCTCATATTCATCTTTCTCCAACCCATCTCATCCATAGCACTGATCACAAAGTACATAGAAAAATGTTTATGTATAAGACAGCAACCTCTGAACACAATAAGCCCAGTCTCTATAAAATAAAAATAAAATTTAAATTAATCTAAATAATCTTCCTTGTTATGTCCATTCTGTCATTTTCGCCTGAAATATTTAACTTTTAACCTTAATTTATTATTATTATTATTATTATTATTATTATTATTATTATTATTATTATTGTATACCAAAATAGAAACATGTTTTGTAAGTATAATGGCACCATTGCATTCATAGCATTGTCTATAAAATACTTTGCATTGTGGTTGACGAAAAAACAAAACTTAACAAAATTGTAATATGAATGACTACAATGACTGAATAAGAATTACTTTTGTCCAGACCTATTATTTGTTTCGACGATGAAATTTTTTACACTCTGTGTAAATATTTTTTTCCAAGACTTATTTCTCTAATATTAATCCTTGCAGCGTTGTTTTTCAGAATTTATTCTTGAGCAAATTTGTTTACCATTTCTGCCATCGCCTTTGATTTCTTCGAAAACCCGTCATTGTAACAGTTATGTTTGTTTTTTATTTTTAGCTCATTTGAGCTAGCTTTGTGTTTACCAAATAAGGGGATCGATTGATTGATCGATTGACTCATTCATTCATTCATTCATTCATTCATTCAGGCGAAATCGTTTACTCGAATCCGAATACAAATGCAAATTTGAATCTGAACAGACGTTTATTTTGAAATACGCAAGGTCGTCAATAGAGGGCGTTACAAGATTTCTTCAAAATGGCGAATGTTTTGATTGAGCCAGATGTGAATGAAAACTAGATAGACATCTTTGACTGGTCAGTTTTGTGTATTGTTTTACGATTTTTGTTTCTCAAACACAACCAAGTAAGCTAAGGGTTTGTTTTATCATTAATTATTTCCTAAACTGAATACTAACCACGAATTACAAATTGCAATCCCTACAATTACCTTGAAAGTCGGTGGCTACTACATACCACTTATGTGGGAGATATTTGCTGCAGTTCTGTAGCTTCGCTCGGTTTCGCTG